CAGACTAACACAGCATTCCACTGAATCAGGTTTGCAATGCAAATAGCCAAGATTAGGGAGGGGGAGAAAAAAAAAAAAAAGCCAGGAAAAAAATAATCACAATGATCATTGTTCTTGCCCAAGTGGAAGTACTTTCTGCTCAAATTTGAGAGCACTGGACTGCAGAAACCCAGACAAAAGCACAGAGCAGAGCAGTGCTCCTGAAGTCTCCCTGCACAATCCAAAAAATGGATTTTCTCAGAAGGAGATCTCACAGAAAAAGGACACCACACCTGGGTTGGGTGGGTGGTGGGAGGGCAAAGCACCTCCCATAGTGCCTGGAGGGACAGTGGCAGCCAAACAGAGCAGGAACAACAGACCTTGTCCACCAGAGGGAAATAAGGGCTGGAGCAGCAGGACAGCAGGCGGCTGTGCAGGAGGGACTGAAGGTGTGCAGGTCTGGAGCAGGGCTGTGCTGGAAGGGGGGTGTTGAGAAACTCATCTCACCTCTGGGCACTGATGCACTCAGAGAGCCAGAATCACTCTGTGGAAGGTGTAAGACTCATTTTGGGAGCTTCTGCCCCCACAGCTGGTGATGCCAGTGAAAGCAGGGGCAGTCCAAAGCTCCCTCCCTGCACTGTGGGTCCCTCCCAGTGCTGGAGCTGGCTTGCAGAGCTGGAGGCAGCACAGCTGTGTTGGCACAGTGCTCCTGGGCCTGACACACTCGGCTCCACTGTGGGACTGATTGGTGCAGGCAGAGGAGCTCATCAGGATCATTACCTGATTCTGGGGGGCCCTGCACCTGTCCCCCAGCTCTGGGCAGGCTGCTACCTACCCTGACCACACCCTGTACTGTGTTGGTGAGTTTTACAGCTGCTGCTTTGGTGCCAGTGCCCTCCAGCACAATCACTGCTTCCCCCTGGATCTTTTGGATGGGTGGCAAAAAATGCAGCACTCACATGGGTAAAATCGCTGCACCCTGAAGTGACCCCAAATTACTGATCTATAACACAGCTCCCTGTGACCCCAAATTACTGATTTAGAACACAGCTTCCCGTGACCCCAAATTACTGCGATTTATAGCACAGCTCCCTGTGCTCCCCGGGCAGCTGAGGGGTCACAGCAGGATCCTCAGAAGGATGCAGCTCAGCATCAGTTCTCCCCTCCGTGCCCTGCAAACACCTCTGGAGCACAGCCTGCCCCAGTCAGAGCCCCAGGGATGGGAGGTGGCACTGCCAGGGGCGGGACAGGCTGCACAGCTCAGTTCTCCATTTGTCACAATCCTCTGGCAGCAGGGACAGCCTGGGGGAGCTGCAAAGGCTTCTGAGAAGCTGCTGTTAATTATCCTGCATGCACACTCCAGCCTCTTCTAGTGTTTGCCACTGGAGAGAAGAGCTCATTTAGGCTGGGGAGAGGGGGAGAACAAAGCCATTAAAAGAGTAGCTGTAAGCCTAGCAAAGAGATAACAAATGACAGAGCAGCAGAATGCTGATGCCATGTCCTTGTCTCCTTGTGAATGGACCTGTACAGCTCATCTGAGCAGTCCTGCTCCAGTGAGCAGATCCCTCCCCAAAGGATTGTCCTCTCCAGCTATGAAAAATGAATGAGGCAGAAAAGGAATTGTTAAAATCCCCTGCAAGGGCTGCACTCGTTTGGTCAACAGCCATGACAAACGAGTCTGACATCCCAGTGCTTCCCCAAGAGCTCAGAGGTGCTTCCTCCATCCAAGGGGATGCAGAGGGGGAGTTGGTGCCAGCTCGGGCACCTGGCAGGACATGGGAGCTGTGAGCCAGACAAAGCTTTGTCCAGTATCACAGAAATATCTTTAAAGGATTTCATCTCTTCATTTGTGACCCTGAAACTTGTTTGATCTCACACCTGCAAAGACTTTTTCCTTTTAAAATTGATACATCTTGTTAGAAAAAGTAAGCAAGTGTGTAGACAACTGCAAATATAAGTGAATTTCCCAGGTAACCATTAATTGAATTTCCCAGGAAACCATTAATCCAATGTTTTCTAAAGCCCATTTCTACCACTAAGCAAAAAGTATGTATTTAGTTATGTGTGTCCATATGCGGCACATTATTTGTGCAGTTCCAGTAGCTTTGGTATTAATTGTAACATATCATTATCTCTCCAGTAATCTTCAGGCAGCTCCCCAAGGAGCACTGCTGAAACATCCTGAAATAACAGCTAAAACCAGTGATGAAAAACCACTCAGAAATGTTTTGTTCTTGCCCCCAGCTGTAGCTGGGAAGGGAGAAGGGGGGCAGACAGTGAGAGCAACAGAGAGAAAAATGCTACTTTTTTGTTGTTTATGAATACAATTTTGCCAAAAAACGCCAAGAGAAACACAGGACACCTTTTCCACGTTCCTGCTGCCAGATGAGTGATTTGGTGATGATGGGAGCCGCAGCACAGCTCTTGCATGGAGATAGCTGCTATAAAACCTGGCTGGGTGTTTGCAGCCCATGCCCAGCACCCCTCACCATTAATGCCCCAGAGACACTTCCCAGGCAGCCTAGAAGAATGGAAGCAGCTCATTAGTGCTGCTGGGTTATTCTGGAATCTCCCTTTCAGTTCAGCATCCTGCTGAGAGCACCCTGCTGTCATTGGGGGCTCTGGGACAGAAGCTCAGGCTCCTCCAGCCACAGCCCCTCAGACCCAGAGCAGCACAGCTCCTCCTGCATCCTCAGCCCACCTCATCCTCCCTCTCCTCTGCACAGATTTCCTCTCTTCCACTGTCTCCCCAGACAATCCCAGTCAAGAAACTGGTGCAGACATTCATTTCCTCCACTCCAGTAAGGCAGCTCTCTGATGCTAAAAATACCCCAGGAAATTGAATCAACATTTTGTAATTGGCTGGTAGCAGCAATTACTAATAATCAGCAGGAACATAATCTTCTTCATTTTCTCCTCTTGCTGTAATGTAATCTCAATAGCAAACTTTGCTTTGCACACTAAACAAACACAATGGCCAATATTAAAGAAAAATGGGGAGATAAAGCAGAGTTTCAGAAAACTTTAAAATAAATAATCTTCTATCAAATAGCAACAAAGCTGTGATTTTATGGCCAATATTAAAAAAGGGGAGATGTGATAAAGCAGAGTTTCAAAAAACTTAAAAATAAATAAACTTCTATCAAATAGCAAAAGACTAATTCAAACAGCCTTTGGGAAAGATCAAGTTAATATTGTTCCTGCGTTCCCCTGTGTAATGGAAAAAGGAAAGCTCCACTCCTCTCCTCTCACTCAGGGGCAGCATCCCCTGCCAGGCTCCCACAGAACCCATTCCAACCCATTCCCTGTGAGATACCCAGGGCACAGCAAGGGGAAAGCACACAGGACTTGGACTTGAAGGACTGTACTGGATGCAAGACTGCATCAAGCAAATTACCCAGTTCAAAGAGAAAAACACTTTTGCAGAAGGAAGCCTGGCTCTGGATAGGTCTTCTGAAGACTGAGGCAGCTCTTGCAGATTACAAACAAGGAACATTTTCCTTGCCCAGCTAGATAAATTTGCTGTAGATGTCTGTGCTTTGTAAATCAATAAACAAGTGCCAGTTTCATGCCAGGGTTTGGCTTGGAAGCGTGAGCAGCTCGTTGCTTTTCCCTCCAGCCAAGCAGAGCAGATGCTCTGCTGCTCTCTGCACGTTCCAGTCCCTAACAGGTATTGATGCCTCCATCAGCCAGCCTGGCCAAGGACAATCCCTGCTGGACTCTGGGAGCTCTTGTCACACTTGGGAGCTCCTCACCAAGGCTCCTTGCCAGCAGCACTGCTGCAGGACATTTACAAATGGCACATTTTCTCTCTGTCCAGTTCAGATGTCATCCCTTACTAAGGCTCAGAGAAGCTGCAAATTCCCTACAATCCCCAAGCAAAAACGGGCTGCAATCAAATTTCCCATTTCAAGGAGACCAAAAGAAACTTCCCCACACTCACCCCAAGTGTCCTGGATTGCACATGAACCATCTGCACCCTTCCAAAGGCCAGGTGGGCACAGATAAGCTCAGGCAATGCCAGAAATTATTTCAGAATAGGGGCAGGTGAGCACCCAAGAGTCCATTGGGAGCCCATTGGGAGCATCGCCTGGAGCTGGATAAGCAGACCCACAAAGCAGGAGGCAGCAGCTGTGGGAGAAGAGCCTTTAGAAAAGATGGATCATTCCCAGAGAGTTAAAGTAATAAGATCACTAATAAGATCACTAAACTTAGTAATAAGAGTAATAACATCACTAAACTTTCTTTGGTGCAGGGAAAGGTAAATACCAAGCTGGTCTTTGGTATTTTTGACCTTGGAAAACTTTGGAAAGTGCACACATTGAAAAGACATGATTTTGAGTAACCTCACATTTACTTTGCTCTTGGAAACTCTTCAGCAGTCCTTGTACTGTGTTGATGAGTTTCACAGCTGCTGCTTTGGTGCCAGTGCCCTCCAGCACAATCATTGCTTTCCACTGGATCTTTTGGATGGGTGGCAGAAAATGCACCACTCACATGGGCAAAGCTCCATTCCCCTGCTGCCAGAAGGATTTATAATCAACCAGATTATTATTTTTCAATCACTTGCTCACCTTGGAGATAAAGGGCTATTCCTTTAAGTGCTAGAACAATCACAGCTTTCCAGGGCATTTTTGGGATTGGAAGTGAAGTAGGCATGGTCCAGGTGCAGAGACACCACAAAGAGACAGGACAGGTCCATGCTTAGAGAGATTCACACTGCTGCCTTTTACAGTACAGCAAAGCTTTGAGATAAAGTGAAAAAGTGAAGAGGTATTTAAATGCCCACATTAAACTAAGAATCGTTTCAGATGCTGTAAAGGCCAGAAAATGGCCTGAAAAACCACCAGGACAAAAGAAATCATAATGGCTGTCAGGATAAGACACAGACCAAGCAGAAATGGAGATTTTACAGAGTTTTGCAAAGCAAGCTGCACTCCTGCAGCCTGTGCAGAGCTGCTGCACACCCTACCATGATCCAAACACTGTGAAATGGAAGGGTGTCAGCACCCTGGGCTTACTTGGTGTTGTCTGAGTCAATGGTGTGAAAGAGCTTCTCAAGTTCCTCCTCGTTGAGGTTCCCATCAGAAAAGAAGGCCTGGAACTCCTCCAGGGACAGCTTCCCATCATCTGCAAACAGCAACACAGCACCATTAGGGACAGCAAAGGGAGGGGGCAAGGCTGAAAATCAAGAGTTATTTTATAGATTTAAAGCTTCACACCAAAATTATCTCCAATGCCTCTGCAGAACTGTCCCTCAGCCAAAGCAGGGCTGGCAGGCCTCAGGGTGGGACCCTGCAGCTCTGGCTGGCCCAGAGCAGAGGAAGATGATGGACCAGAGCAGAGGAAGAGGATGACCCAGAACAATGAAGATGCTCCTGGATAGGGATGCAGTGGCCATTGGCAACTGGTTGGGTTCTTAACCCAAAGCATGGCTCAAAACCAAAGAGGAAAAACTGGTGAGCTTCATCCTAAAACTGAATTACATTAAAAAAATTATGGAGTATTTTGTCTACCCTATGTTCAAGTGATACAGGATGCTCATTAAAGGACATTTACCAGGTAGGAAAAGACCCTGGGCTGGAATTACAATAAAATTACAGCATTATCTTTTGCTATCTCTGCATCCTCTCCAGCACAGTCCATGTCCCTGCTCTGGGCAGAAATGTTAAATGGAAGCTGTTTCACTGATGTGGAAATCTGGCCATAGATTTTCTGTTATTTTATATATTGGTCCCAGTGTTCATCTAATACTGGGACTCCTTAAATGACCAAGAGGAAAAAGAAATTATCAAATTCATGTACAAGGGGCTAAAAGAAGGACTGTCACAAGTTAGACTGATAAGGTGACAATGGATTACAGTTAGCTGATAAATCAGGAGCCTTGCTCTGTGCTCTGTGGACAGGAACAGAGAAAGCTGCTCCTGTGAGAAAGCTCCTGTGAAGCTCAGCAATAAAGCAACAGGAGAGAGACAAAAGAAACTCTAAAGAAACTCTAATTTATCATTTCTTGTCCAAGCTGCTGACACCACACTCTGCTGTGCAGCAGTGCTTGGGGGGAATAACTACCCCAAGTCAAATATTATTTAAGATCTTTCCATTCATATCCACAGAAGAGTCACAGGCTCGAAATGCTGCCTACTTTGTGGTAGGAGAATGTATCATTTATTATTTAATCAAATCAATAATAAACCCTGCTGTTTCTTTTTCAGGAAATGATGCTAGAGGAAAAAAATTATCCAACTCTCCACATACACATCAATATTTCTTCCCCAAAGTAAGGCTGCTGCTCCTAAAACATACCTGCACTGCCAAATGCTAACCCAGTTTCCCTTTTCCCTTGCCTGGCACAGACAAATTTAGAGCAGTGATAAACTGAGTCTCAGATGCCCATTTAATTGGCAATTATGGAAGGAATACAGCAGGAGAGCAGTCTGCAGCAGCACTGGGTGAGGAGGGCACCATTTCCAGAGCACCACAATGGCTGCAGGCAGGGTCCAGCTGCCTTCATTGTTTTCCCCATTCCCTCCCCAAAATGTGACCTTTTTGCAGCAGGCAGGGTGCAGATCTGCAATGCACAGCTCAGGGAGTGGTCCCAAATCTGCTTTATTTTAGTTTACAGAACACTAAAGCACCTGCACTTCAGCAAGAGCCCGTTGCTTGAGCATCCCCCAGTGCCACCTGGAGGGTCACCCTGTGCTGCCACCCTGTCCTGGAGGAGACAAAAAGGCTTTGTCCAGGCAGGAGCCCCATCCCCAGCTCCCATCTCCCCCCGGCACCCCTGCACAAGGAGCTTTCCCCCCCCAGTGCTCCCATTTGTGCAGGATCCTGGCTAAGATCAAGGTTTGGCTTCTTCTGATCCTCCCTGGCGATGAATGCACATCTTCAAGCACCACGATCAAAAGGATGACAGCTTTGCTATCCCACAAGGGCTAAGCAATTCTTTATATATAGAACACTTTATTGTAAACCATAAATCAGTGCTTGTTCACCTTCAAACTGTCCTTCCACACGCGGGGCAGCAGAAATAAATTCCCAGGAAAGTCACATAAACCAAGTTCCTGGGAAAGAGAAACTGTAAAGTGGAGTGGATTTTTTTTTTTTTCAGGAGAGTTCTTTGATCTGAATTTACAGTTTACTTAACTCTGAAAAACACAAAGGTGTTGCTAAGTTTAAGGCAAAAAATCCACATCTTTCATCTAGTTTATATCTTATAACTTCTGTCTTGCATTTTACTCTTGCTCTGGGGTTTTGATATATATATACATATATATATATTTAGTAAAGTGCTCCAGGATGCATTTTTGCTGCAGTTTCTGAAATATCTGTGTTTGAAATCTGTGCCAAACCACTGCTCTGACTCCTATCTCAGAGTGTCCAGAGAGAACAGGCAGACAGATACCAAGTACCATGACAGGTCAGAGCACTGGAAATCAACCTGCACTGAATTTTTGTTGGCATTTAACAGCCTGAAGTAATGGAAAAACAGAATGATGCAAGGATCTAGAGGAAGGAGGAGGTGACAGTGAGTTTTATTTAATTTTTATTGTCTGGAGACCCCACAGAACTTCTTGAATAAAAGCATTCTGACCCCACAGAATTTGAATAAAAGTACCAATTTTATTTGCAAGCAGTGCTCAGGACTTTCATCTCCCCCCCAGCCACCAGCACCAAGAACCAGTCAGCTCAAAGCTGATGATTATTTAATGTAAACTGGAATCCTTGTCTGCAAGCACACAAAGCAAAAACCTTTCTGAGTAAGGAGATAATCCTTGAGCTGCATATCTATAATTGTGGAGCAGCCTGAGAGCCTGGGTTTCTGGAGCCCAGCAGGCAAAGATGCCTTCAGGGAACCTCAGGGTGATAAGAGGTACAGCAGAGAGGGGCTGGGATCTGCCAGCTCCGATTAAACTGTTAAAAAGCCCCTGGTGAGGAGGATTGGCCACAATGGCAGCAGCACCAGGTCCCCTGGCAGCAGCTGCTGTGATAAGGGAGAGCTGATGGGGCTCTGTGGGCCAGGAGGAGCCTTATCAGGACAGGCCCAGCTTCTCCTGCAGCACAAGAGTCTGCACTCAGCAGGGAATAATGGATAAGGCTTCCAGAAAGCAGCTTTTTGCAGAAAACTGCTGGGTTCAAGAGGTGCCAATTCTCCACAGGGACAGGCAGAGCCTCAGTTGGTTCAGGCTCACCCCCTCCTTGCCTTGGAGAGCTGCTCTGGGATCTTTCAGCCCGTGGGAGCTGCTCCTGACAGGAAGCATAAGGGGAAAAGTGAGATTCTTTACCATATCTTACTAAACCAAATAAAGTTTCCATCATTTTTAAGATCTAGATCTCTCAAAGAGAGAAAAAAATCACAAAAAACCAAAAAGAGTCACAAATACTTGTGTAGATCTAGGTGATCTAGATCTCTCAAAGAGATCTAGATCATAAAGATCTTAAAATCTAGAGATCTAGATCTACACAAGTATTTGTGACTTTTTTATCTGGGCTGCCATACTAAAGGCAGACAATCTGTTTCCACTGACTCCCTCCCTCCCCTTTACACCCAGCACTTGAGGGTAACGCCCAGCTGCGGCAAGGACAAGTGCCACTAACTAGAAATTGCCTCCCTCACACTGATGGGCTGAGAAAAGAGATCATCAGGCCACAGCTATCCTGCCATCATTCCTTCCTGAGAGTGCAATCTTCATTTTCCCCTAGCTTTTCAAAATAATTCAATCACAGGCAAAGACCAAAGCAAATTACCAGCCCAACAGAGTTATCAAAGTTAGAACTGACTGAAGAGGGAAGGACATGGGAGAGAGCATCAGAAAGCCCCAACTGGGATGTTATTATATCTCCATTTGCCATCATGAAAATGTGAGGAGTCCAGAAGTGGCTTTTATACCTTCTAACTCACACAATCAAGCTGTTCTCACTCGCTAACACAGCCCAGGGAAAAAATCAAACTGAGATCATAAATCGTCCAAAGTATAGGAAATCTGGTGGCTGAGTTTCTGGAAATTCACTCAGTGGTACAAATGGCTTAAAGCAGGTACAAAATAAGGTCACTGTTCTGAGCCTGAGTTTGCTAAATATGTTTTCAATTACATGAGGCTGAGACTGCTCATATATTTTCCAGATATATTATGAATATATTTTCCAGCTATTATTATGACTGTTCTTCATTATTTACTTTTATTGCTCTGTGAGCTCTAAAATGCTCTAAGCTCCACTTACTTGCAAGCGCCCAACAGCTATGGGTAAGCAAATTGGATTTTAGTGGGGCCTGTGAATAAAAATGAGAACTATTTTTCCTTATTTCCTGGGGGTATGCATGTGCAGATACATGAGCCAGCAAGAACAGGAATTGGCTTCCACCCTGAACAGGGATTGGCTTCCACACAGAACCTTCCATCCAGCCCCCTCATAAGCCAGGAGGAGAGACTTCATTCATTTAACCAAAGGGGAATGTGGGCTTGAGCTTTCCATCCTGGGCTGTTGGGGAAAATGACCTCCAGCCCCACAGGTCTGATCTGAACCTTTCCACTGGGCAGAGAAGGGCTGTGCACCACCCAGCCCGCTCCAAAAATCATCTGCAGCTCCTCACCACTGACCCAGGCAAAAACCCCAAATCCACCCACCTCAATTGCAGCCTCCCAGTGCTGTGCTGGGGCAGTGGCCCTCAGCCGGGAGCAGGGCTGGAGATTGATTCACCCCAGAGCTGGTGATTCACCCCCAGATTGCCCTGGTGAGGCTGCAGAGCCAGCACAGCCCACGTTTGGGTGGCTCTGCACAAGAACAGGGCCATGGGCACTGGAGCACAGCCCCTGCCAGTGCCTTTGCTAATGAGATGTAGCACACATCATTACAAGGAAATTACTACAATTACAGTAATTTTCTAGTGAAAGAAATTGACTGAACGGCTCCATAATTTTGAAACTTAACTAATGCCCAGCACAGCTGTTTGCACAAGGGTCAGTGCCACACCAAGCAGATAACCTGAGAGATATATTGGTGTTTCCAATGTAGTGAATAATCTGTATGAAGCACTCCTGTGCATTCCTAATGCAGCTGGGAATGCTGGAGGGTCCTGCTGGGCAATGCTGGCACAGGGCTGCAAAGGCTGGCCCAGAAGACAATTCAACATA